CTCTTTTGGGTGCAGATGGGTCCAGCCCTTTCCCTGTCCCAGCTGAAATTAATGTGTCCTGAGTACGTTGTGACTTACCCATCTCAGACCAAAGATGCTCATCATCCCTGTGCCTCCCTGCAGCTTCCCTTTGGGAGTGTGGGGAGGGGAAATACACTCCCCATGCTCTCATTTATTTTAGGCACACTTCTAATATTTTTTTTTTCCAGCAGCTGCCTGCTTTTCTTCAGTGATGATGGGATGTCCCTAAGTGGCTATTGAGTCCTTTGAGATGACTAATTTCAGGACCAGATGAATTCCTGTGCCGATGTATGTGATGCAACAGGTTCTGCGTTGCTGTAGACTCTAAAGATTGTCTATACAGGCCCTTCCACATTGAGCGGGAGGGTAGGACTGTTGTGCAATATGGAGGGTTGTTTTGATTTGGGGCGTTTGGGGTTTTTTATGGGTTGTTTTGGTTTTTTGTTTTGGTTTGGTTTTTTTCTTGGCATTGCCTTTTCTGCCACTTCCTTATGTTCTACTTATTTCTTGGTATGTTTTTTCTTTTCTGTCCCATTTCCCATTTGTCCCAACAGAGAAAGTGTCTCCCCAAGAACTGTGTCCTTCCTGTAGCACAGAAGTGAAGCCAGGAGTTCAGACCCAGCACTTGCAGATGTCTGGGCAGGTTCTATGTCACACACCTGTGGCGTGCAGGCACGGTGGCTTTCTGGTTCTGTAGGCTCTGAGAGGGACTAGCTTGGCTTTAAATAGTTATTGGAGAATATTCTTCAAGTGTCAGCAATAACAGTGTTAATGTTGGGGCCTTGTGGTCTATCTGATGTCACTGAATGCTCAAAATCCAGTTGATGCATTTTAATAAGGGTGAAAGAAGGGTGCTCTGTGGCCCCTCAGAGGGTCCCATCTGATGGCAGCTCAATCCTGCGTATTTGGGGCTTGGGAAGGAGACAGAGCTATTCCTGACTCTGCCTGCTCAAAGGAAATACCGAAAGAGCCCTGACCCAGCGTCTGCCATCCAAAGTGAATCGCATTGCCTTGGCAACACAACTCACTCCTACAGGGAATGAGGTGAGGAGAAGCTGTCAGAGGAGGGAAGAACCAGTTGTGCTGAAAGCAGTGCAAAATCCTGCTGGTTTAAATGGCACCAGCACCCAGACCCAGGGAAGGTGGGAAGAGAGTCAGAGCTGAGCTTCCATGCTCTCCATGAAACCATTTCTCTTTTCATGGTTTGTCAAACCCATTCTGTTTGCTTTTTTTTCTTTTTCTTATGCAAATTCTTCTGTTTCTGGTTCAGCTGAATGGTGTAAGACCTGAAACGAGAGGTTTGTTCAAGGCAGGCAGAATTAGATGCAGAAGCCAAGCAGAGAAGGATGAAGAGAGATTTTCTTTTAAATCTTGCACAGTAAGTAGAAAATAATCAGCAGCTGTGCACTTTGGCTGAGCAGTTTTAGCCAACTGCTCTAATAACTATGGTTATTACCATGATAGATAACTGAAAGTGGTTAAACGCTGCTATCAATCACAGTGCAGAGAACAACGTAATTAATGGTAAGTACAGGTGTTAAATAAACCACCCTGTCTGGAGTCATTGGGCATTGACTTGAATGCTTGTACACATTGTGTGGACCACTACCTGCATCATCTCAGTGGCTTCTGATATTTGTGTGTTCAGCACCTTGTCTCACTGCCACTGTAGAGCGATGTGGTGGAATTGAATCACCAGAGCAGGAGTCAGGTCACACTAAACTTCTTGAGTGCTTCAGTCACTCCTTCCTCAGTGTTACTAAAATAACTGAAATGACGCTGGCGAACCTGGTGATGGGAACAGTGTCTGTTGCAGTTTGATTGTTTTCATCTTTGTCCCAGAGTAAAGGTGGAGTTGGTTTTTCGTGTGTTTGTATTAGAGGAGACATGCAAAGTACTCCAAGGAATATGCTTTACATTCAGTGTGGAAGGCAGAGAAGCTTATGGTGTCCTTAGCCCTGGTGCAGAACGGTGTGTGAAGAGCTGCAGCACTGGCCACGTGCCTTTTTCTGGGACATTAGTTGATCTTTTTGTAAAGCTTGGGCTGAAACTGTCTGGTTCCTTGGGCATGAGACCTGAAGCTCGTTGTAAGTCTTGAGACACCTAAAACCCCTCTGGAGATTGGTCCTTTGCTATCAGAGAGTGAAGTGCAGCATTGAAGTGCTCGCTGTAGTCTGTGTTGCTGGGGAAACACAGCTCCCTGTTCTGTACTATTTGGCATTTTCTAAAGATGTGGCTTTGTGCCCAGCAACACTGTTCTGTGCAGCGCTGATGAGGAGCTGCAGAAAAACAAGTCACAGAAGCCAGATCACGGTACTTTAGGAGAGACTGTTGCATCTTGCACAGAGCGAGACAGACAAGTGTTCCTGGAGAATCCACCTTTGACTGGGAAC